CGAGACAAACAATGGCTGATAATAGCGGTGCTCGTGATGGACACCAACCGGGAAACACCCAATTGGGTGGAGCGGCCATCGCCTGAACCGATTCCGGGGCGTCGTCTTCTGGGCCCTCGAAGTCGCCGAAGTCGTCGTCTTCCGTGGCGTCCGTTTGCTATCAATTGAGCAATGGATCAGACAAATGAGACAATCGGTGGTAAAGGTGTGAATGAATGGTAACAACAAAAACATGAATAAATGGCAATAAAAACTCACTTTCTCCTGATTTGCACTCATTTTGGGCATCAATTCAAAGCAATTGAATGCAAACAAAGTGTTAATTAATGAATGGTTTGTATTGTAAAGCAATTAGCGTTAAAATATTGAATAGATTTTCAATTGATTTCTAATTAAACTCATTATTAAAATGCAATCAAATGTGTCGTCAAAGCCATGAAAGCCTTCACAACTGAAAGCTAAGTGTTTACTCATTCACACAAATAACGTGACATTCAATGCATGCAAACACTCATTGAATTTGCATTCATTTCATTGATTACTGAAAGCAAAGGGTTTTGAATTGTTTGCGTTATTATTGACATAAGGCTTGAAGTAAACAAATTGCTGTCAACACTGTTGACAATCACTGGCGGAACCGCTTCTTTGGCTCATATCTGCCATTATCTCCACCGCAAGAGTGGCAACGACTACATGTGCGCCCACAGGCCTTATCTCTTGAGCTCATGAGTGGTCGTATCGGCTATTATTGAAAGTATTTAGGTCTCAATTGAGCGGTGAATCGGTGGCCACAGACTCGGAGGAATAGATTCATATGTTGAAGACACACCTCTTGTTTATGATATGCATTGTCAGTGGATTCCTGTTGACTCTTCAACTCATTTCTCTGCAAATTCTGTTAAGAAAAGTATTCAACAAATAATACATTGGTTTTCACTGGAGATCTAATTTATGTCTTGAATTGATCCCAAAACTAGGGTCACGTCGAAGAGAAGACTTCGTGGGTATGACTGCAATGAATGCGTGGCTAACATGAGATAATAAATGGTTTGTTTTGTGCAGAATCTGTTGGATGTGGTGACACTGAACGCCAATCGCAACTCAATCCCGTTGTTTCTGATCGACAGCGAAGTGTTGAGTAATATCTCGGCCAAGAATGCAAAGAGTGGTGACTCTGGAGGTGACACTTCCTATTGCAATGTGTTGTGTTCGGGCCGTAAGATCACACATTTGGCCACTTTTGGTCAGTTTGCCACTCAGTTACTCATCACCCGATTCGTGACTGCAGTCAAGGCTAAGGGCTTCACAGTCTTGAAGTTGGAAGAGTTGGACCCGACTCTAGTCCACTACGAACTCGAGGTCTCGATTCCCACGCATTTGATTGTCATCGACGAGAATCTACACATCGATAAGATGTCTCATGTCATACATATCGTCATATTCTACGAACGCATCCAATCGACC